AAAAACGAATTTTCTATGAATTTTAGAAGTTAAAATAGCTTTTAAAACAAATTTAATACTAAAATATTCTGTCGGCGACACGTGGCGCATCCCGGTTCGTTCCGCGGTTTCGGGCAATGATTGGCGCCGCCGCCAATCATTGTCCGATGATTGCGGCGGCGGTCAAGTGACGGGACGTCACTTAACCACGTCGGACGGAGGATCACAGCCGTCCGATCCTCCGCGGTCGAGATCGACGGTCGGGATCACGCCAGACCGTCTACGGAACCGCGGGATCGAACCACGCGGTCAGACGGGACCGCGGGATCCTCAGATCGCGACCGTTGATCAAGAAATCAACGGTCCGGCTCGGATCTGGGGCGAAACCGAGAGCCAAAGCAATATTTTGCTTCGTTCTCCCAAACGGCTGGACCAAATCGCATGAAATTTTAGATCTAGGTTGTAGACTCTTTAATGATAGTTATCCATCATTTTGTTAGAAGATGGCATATTTCAAATACATACAAAAAAGATAAAGATCTTGTTGATCTAAAAAGCTAAAAGCTATGTTAAAATATTTATAAATATATAATGACTATAATCCATTTGATTGTATGCAAGCAAGCTAGAGTCCACGCCACCAAATCTGCAGCCTACTTGTATAAGCTGACATAAGGATATATTTTTATGACAATGTTGAAAATTGTGATGCTCATAATCTAAATTGGAAGAATTATTCATTTATCATTTAAATAAATAACAATTAGAGCTATCTAATATCATATATTAGTAATAAATAACAAAATAAATTCTATAATTCAAAACATTAATGTACAGATCTATATTCAATCCCAAAAATCATATACACTATTTTTAGACGTCAAAATAAATTCATGTATTGACAATGATCACTTTGCGACCTCCAAATTTGGACTTAAAAATTACAAAAAAATATTCATAAAATAAATCATTTTATTTAAAAAATATCGATGAAATCGATTTTCAAAATGGACAACTAATGGACTTCAAATCCTCACTTGTACCAACATGTACCAATTCCTTAAGGATTTTCACCGGTGCCCAAAAATTATGAAAAAATTAATGTAACTAAAACATTATGATCAAATTATTATGGAGAAGACGAATTTTGATTTAGAGTTATAATGACTCTAGAAAAAAAATGTCAAAATCAAAATACTGGCTATTATAAAAATACACTTGAAAAATATAATCCCTACAAGTGCTCTGACAAACATCTTAAAATTACAAATATAAATATTCAAGAATGCTGCGCAGGGCACAATGCTTGCTAATATAATAATTTATTTGTAAAATAAACATAACTTTGCATGTGCTCATACAAATACAATAAATTTTTAAACTCCAATGTCTGAGAATGATGCACGGGTTAAATATTCAAGTTTCAACCTCCTTGAAAGGACTGGAGTCAACTTGACTTGAATCATAAATTGCCTCCCAATTTTTTATAAAATATAAGTGATTTTAATTGTCACCCCAATAATGATCGTATTGAAAGAAAATCTCAACTGGAGGGATCAAATCTTAAACTAAGGAAAATATGAATTCCTAAAATAAAATCTATCACTTAAAAAACTTAAAATTAAAACTCATCCACCTTTGCAACCATTTTTTGGGGGTGATAAATTTAAAATTAACCTCAGCTTACAAATAGTGAATGTCATGTCTGATGTATCACTATGATTTATCCTCAAATAGTCTCTTGCGAGTGGGGGATGTGATACGTGCCCTCTGATTGGGTGATTTTATCACAAAATGGCATAATTATATTATGATTACAACCAAAGCCCGTATGTTAACTAACGACTTCAAACCTTTGAGTAATGAATCATATAGTTTATTCGATAGGCATAAAGTTCTTTGTCAGATAAGGTAGATTTTGATCTATCCCCTTAAACAAATACCAACCCAGGTCTACAATGTATTCTTGGACAAAATAACACATAGATGTCGATAAGTTACCTTCTGTCAGGTTGGGTCGACTACCTCCTCTTTCTAAGTAGACTAGGATCCATGACAGTCTGGGACGACGAAGCCATGAGAACTTTATCGGACTTGTTTCTATTCCCTCCACCACCAGTTTTAAGTTCATGGTGATAAATTCTAAATCATAAACCAAATTCAAACCCTAAAATTATTGCTATTATGCATTGGATTTACAATATATGAGATCTCTTTAATGACTATCTTTAATATTGAAAGTTCTCTCTCATTATCGAGAGGGGTAATTAACTAGAGGATCTTATGCCTATAGGAAACTATAACCCAGATTATAAAGTCTGCGCAAGATGAGGGTGAAATCTCTAGGTAGTGTCTTATCCAAAACCCAACCTGCCTTCTGAAAATTTACCCGGAACCTAAGCTCGTTAAAACTCTTCATTGTCAATTACATAAACAAGAAAAGAGAACTAGCGCGAAGAGGACAGGGTGTGAACAAGAATTTTTGGAGCTCACAATAAGTTCTAGCTTATCAAGTGTTTTCTAGTATCAGTAATCCATAGTTAGCAACTGTTAGCTCAATAGATAGAGTCATCTGTCTTTTCATGTCGGTAAAGTAATAACTCCTTATAACTCTCAATCATTATTACATGAATCAGTCAAGGATAACACTAAATCATATATTTAAAGGAAAACTCATCAGCCAATCATTATATACAAGTTAGTTAGTTTCTAGCCAACGTCAGTGAAATCAAATTTTACTTGTTGTCACACATATTATTATTACAATATTATAACAATAATATAGACTAGCTATTATCCAATCAAGCACCCATTTTCATTCTCAATGCTTAAATAAAAATACCCAATTTATATAGTGTAAATCTTACAAAATTCATTAACTTCTATTTTATCTTGTGAATTCATAAACAGTACAGTAAAATATCTAGGATAATCAGTATCATAACATATAAAAGTTGTGCGGTAAAAGTTCAATAAAGATGAGAAAAAATATAGTAAAATCAATTTTTAGGTGAATTCAACAGTTAAAATTAAAATATTTGAAATCAGAGATAGAATTAGAATCACCTACCACAATCTGAGCAAGTTCTGAAAAACGGTGAAGCGATCCAATGGCTAAAATCAACTTTTCACTTTTCTCTCTCTCCTCTTCCTTCTTTGATAAGGCACAATACTGTAAATTAGATTTTTCATTTTAATAAAAATATCATTTAAAAAATCCGGGTTATCAATCATGTGATATATGGCTTGACTATGCATGTGAATGTACTTATCAATGTATTTGTGATATAAAACTTTTTCATTTTGCTTCAGGTAAGATTTTCATGATTTATGAGCTATGATATACGATGACCTATTTGATAGATTTTATTGTAATCAAATCAATAATATGCCATTATTTATGTAATGAATAACAAGATATGACGCAAATATTGTGTAGCTATTGCCATATTTGACATAACATAATTATATGATAAAATGCTACATGAGGATCATCTACGAAAATGATACTTGAGGATCATCTATTAGACTACATAAATATAAAGTTTAAATATTAAATATATATTTATATAAAATTTTGCGATGCAAACTTTTTTATTTATTTACTTACCACTTATTAAAAATTTTCCACTATTCACCAAATTTGCGCGTACAAATTTGTCTGATTGCTTTTTGGGATTTTTACATACATACCACTTTATAATATATGTATTACATATTTAACACATAATTCATAAATATTACATTAATACCACCTATTCTCTATTTTTATAACAAAATCATCACTCCGTTAACAGCGGCTTCACTCAGTTTTTTTTTTCATTCCCAACTCTCTCTCCATTTCCTCATCGCCACCACAGGAACAATCGCAAAACCCCAATCCATGGCCGCCACCGCCGTCGTCGCCGCTGCCGTCGCCTCCCTCACCGCACCGCTCCTCCCCTTCTCTTCTTCAACGCTTCAAATACTAGCTAGAAAGATTCCTTCCCCCCTCTCCGCTGCATCTCCGCTTCTCTTTATACGCCGTACCAATTCCCTCAATCAACGTTGCTTCGGCACTCGAGCGGAAGCCGATGAAGGAAGTGACAACGGAGCTGTAGTCGAACGTCATAACTTCGATTCGACCTGTTCACGATCGGCGCAGGGAGTGGAGGGGTCCGTGCTTCGCGCTTCGCGGCGAACTATGGTGCCTCTGTTGCTATTTGCTAGCTTTCGTTAGCTGCTATATCGTCTGACCCGGCTGGTGGAGTTGGTGGAACATAAGTTGCTTTGCATTTATTGTTTTTTTTTTCTTCTTTTGGTGGATTGAGAGGCGGGTTTGGTTGAAAATTGCTTTGTTGGTTTAGTTTGATCTTGCCTGGGATAATTAATTGGTTAATTTTCTTGTATGGAAAAAATTTTGTGTGTGAGATTAAACAAAATTGCTTAAGGGAACCATGAAGACAGAAGAAGAAGACCTTTATTGTGTTTATTGAGATCTAATATAGTCCAGAAAGTAGATGTAGAATTGGAAGGGCTCGCATGGAATCCTGCACAGGCGGAAATAATGTTTGCTCGCATGGAACAACAGCAAAGCTGGAAGAGCAGCTCAGAGAAGAGAAAGGTATCGCTGAAACCAGTTCTCCCGCGAAAATCACAGGGGGAATGAAAAAAAAAAAAACAGAGTGAAGCCGTCATTAACGGAGTGATAATTTTGTTATAAAAATAGAGAATATATGATATTAATGTAATATTTAAGAATTAGATGTTAAATATGTAATACATATGTTATAAAGTGATATGTATGAAAAATCCTTGCTTTTTCCCTTCTCGAACGATCTCTAGAGCTCAAGCCTAATATCTGCGACTCTTCGGCGCCGGCGGTATAAATCTTCCTCAGCAGGTACGAGTGCTAGAAGATCCTTGCGCAGTCATCTCATCTCGTTGAATCCGCTTTTTTGTACCTAGGGTTTCAAAAGATAACTATGAAGGTGAATGTCTCCAGAAACACTCCTATTGAGTTTTTTATTCACTCTTTCCCACCTCATTCATCCTCTGGGTTGTTATTTATCCTGATTGCAAGATAGCTGAATGACGTACACCTTTTCTTTTGTTATGACATTGCGTGGTTTGCAGATAGCCGTGGAGGGTTGCATGCATGGAGATCTTGACAAGGTTTATGCTACGCTTAAGCGCTTGGAGGAAGCAGAGAGTACGAAGATAGACCTACTCTTATGCTGCGGGGACTTTCAGGTATCTCTTTAAGGAATCCATGGCTAATTTTGCAGCTTGGTCGTCTATACTAAACCTTGATTAACTACAATATACCGCAGAGGAGAAAGAAATGTGATTAACTACAACAACGTTGCTGAGATCCGACACTGCTAATTTTTTTATTTTAAAATGAAAACTAAGCTCAATTATTTATTTAATTGAAGTTGGGGCACTGGGTCAATCACACAGATAAATTAGTTTGAGGCGCTTATTTATTATGATGGCAGCATTATACTTGAACTGGAGCTCTTTGGTCCAGCTGTTTTAATTTGAACGGTGTGGGCTATATAAACTTTTTCATCATGTTTGGATTGGAAGCTGGAAGCACATTTGTTTTTCATTTTTTATATGTTCAGGTATATTGCAGCTATTACTTAGAATCAGGATCAGTCCATGTTAAGAGTCGCTGATGTGTATCCTACTTGACGATTCGATTTAACTAAAGGGGTAGTCCTGCGTTCTCTTACCCCGTTTACAATTACTTGCATTGGTAGAAGCAAGCAGGCCAATGCCATTAGTTGGTTTGTTTGCTACCTGTCTATGGAAAGCAACAACTTAAATGTTCAATTGTGGGTGCATTATACTGCTTCACGGGAAAGCTACTTATAGTGAACCTAATGCTTGGTTAAACATGATTTATTCTCAACAAAATAGTGGAATCTGCTAATTTTTTCGAAAAAAAGAATGAACTATGCATGCTGCATATTTTCTGGTTGTTTTCTTTCTGGTAATATGTAAAGATATTGCCACTGTCCTCAATTCAAAATATATGAACGTTGTGCTGAGAAACTTTAAATCTTGCTTAGTTTTTGATGAATGGGGCATTGCATGAAATTGGTAATGCATTATCATTCATAAGGACTGCAATGTATATTGTATCCTATTTTATATATTTTTATTTGGTGCTATTTAGTCTCGTTAATGGTCCATGACTAGTTGTAAGTAAGCAACTTGCCTTCTTTTACTTACGTATCATGCTCTGATGATAGTGTTGTCATGGGTAAATTTCCTGTGCATGCATGTTTAATGTTCAATCATCCTTAAAAAAAACTTCATTTTAATATCCAGGCTGTTAGAAATGAAGAAGATCTAAAAAGCTTAAATGTGCCACCAAAGTATCGCCATATGAATTCATTTTGGAAGTACTATTCTGGACAAGTGAAAGCTCCATATCCAACTATTTTTATTGGTGGGAACCACGAGGCCTCCAATTATTTGTGGGAATTGTGAGTTTTTGCTAACATTTCAATTTTATTTGTTGGCAAGTCTTAAAAAAAGTGTAGGGTTGTGGATTCATTTTTTTATATAGATATAGGACTTTAATATGCGTAAAGAGATTTCTCACAATCCTCTTATAGTTTTAGACACTTCTTCATTATAATGCATGCAATGATTTTCTAAGTTGAAAAATTTGCTTGAATGCATGTTGATGTCTTGCTTTGGTTTGTTGAAAGGTGCAATCATTTATGATACATGGTAATTTATTTGTGGAGATCTTTATGAGAATAATCATAGGGAAAATGCATGAAGAGAGGCAAATTTATGTAACATGGAAAGTTGAAGACTAGGAAAACATACGTTTATGAAATATGTATTTATGTTTATAGCTAAGATGTGACCTTTAGATGATCAAGGGCTTATGATTGGTTGAATAAGTAGTAGGTATATGATACATAATTTGAGTGTGTGCGATATTGATGATCATTAATCAATATTATAAGAAGAGAAACTATATACCTCGGTGTTATAGGTGTAAATTTATTGAATTTATTATACCAAATAATGGGGATATAGATGCTTACATAATTTTCTAAAATAAAGGCAGTGTGGATAAAATAGATAAATACCTCAAGTGACAAGAAAATCATGTCATAAGAGGATATCATGGATACTTAAAGTAAAATTTATAAAAATGTGATCAAGCCAGCTATGTTGTGTAAATCTGAATATTGAGCAATAAAAAAATTGTTGATAGCTAAGTCGAGTGTTCTATAAATAAGAATTTTTGTTATATTTGGCATAACTAAGAATGATAAATTTTGGAATGCTCATATAAGAGACTTAAAGGAACAATTAGAGTGCCATCTACTTGAGGTAAGATAATTGAAAATATGCTTTGGTGGTTTAGGCCTATACAAAAAAGGGTAAAATGCATCAATTAGGCTGGTAGATAGAATTAACATTTAATAATTTGTGAGTGAGGATAGGTGCAATGAATATGGAAATAAATTGTTCAAAATGATCTATGAAGAATATGTTTAACATTTCGGCCAACACTTAAATGTAAGAAATGAATAATGAGGATTTGTAATTCCAGCTCCAAATAATTGGGATAATACATTTATATGATGATGAAGATGCAAACATGCATGATTAAAACCTATGTTGCACGGATACTCCTATTTACGAGGCGTGTTGTATCGGATACGTGTCGGATACAGATACGCCTCCGATACGGCACGGATACGTGTCGGATACGGCCTTGCCGTGTTCGATTAAAATATTATTTAAATTTGACTGGACACGCGTATCGGATATGCGTGTCCTATTAAAAAAAAAAAACACGTAGCCACGATTTACCCTTTTCTTTTCGACTTTCCACCGTTTCCGCTCAAAACACGGAGCAACATTTCAAAGAGCTAGGTTTTTCGTTTCCACACACGTTCATCTTCTTCGTTATAGTTGAAGGAGCGGCTCAATGACGCGAGCATAGAAGCAAACAAGATCATCCTTTGTCGACAAAGAGGCTTGACGACGCGAGCATTAAAGTCGATAGGATCATCCTTCGTCGACGAAGCGGCTCGACAACGCGAACAGTGAAGGCGACGTGAGCAGTGTAGGTTCGTTTTCTTCATCGTTCTTCGTTTTCTTAATCATAGGCTCGGTATCGAAACTTGGTACCGCTTGGTACCGAACGTTACTGGAACTCGGTGTTGCTCGGTACTCGGTACCGAGCAGTATTGGAACTCGGTACTGCTCGGTATTGGAACTCGGTACCGCTCGATATTGGAACTCGGTATTGCTCGGTACTACTCGGTACCGAGCGGTATTGGAACTCGGTACTGCTCGATATTGGAACTCGGTACTGCTCGGTATTGGAACTCAGTATCGCTCGGTACT